TCCACATGGTCAACCGTGGTTTCAGTGCTGGACCCAGTGGTTTCAAACTCACACTGGGCACATGTGCGTGCATGCCCAAGATCCTGGGAGGAGAAGAGAGAAGGGTTTGCAGTGTGGCCATCCTCCCGGGGGACAATTTCTTGCTTTCTATTTCTGTTTCTCTGGTGAGTGCACACGCCCTACCAAAAAATCTCTCTGAAAAAAAAAATTACAAACTCGAGGGGCCAACAGGTGGTGTGGTAATTAAGTGCTGTATTCCCACATGGTCAGCCATGGTTTGAGCTCTGCGCCAGCTACTTGAAAAACACAAGTGTGGGGGCTGGCAGGTGGTGTGGTAGTTAAGGTGCTGGAATCCCACATGGCCAACCACGGTTTGAGTCCTGGACCTGGAGGCTTGCTTTCTCACTTTCCTTCTTTCTCTCCCTTTTTTCCTTTCTCTGGTCAAATAAAAAAATAAAAGTAACAACTTAAGTTAAATAAATATTAAAAAACAAACAAAAAAAAACTTAAGAGTGTGTGTGTGTGTGTGTGTGTGTGTGTATATCCCCTAAATCCCGAGAGAATGGAGAAGGGACTGTGGTGTGGCCATCCCCCCATGGAGTGATTTCTCATTTTCCCTCTTTGTGTCTCTCTAGTGAGTGCACACCCTAAAGCTAAAACCTAAAATAATAATTTTTAAATTTATAAATTTGAAGAACTTGAAATACTATGGGAAAATCCTGACAATGTTGTGTTGACTAGGGAAAAACCCATGAAATTGTTCATGCAGTTCAGGTCCATTGTATTTAAAATATACATCAACTATATAAAGGAAAAGAGCTTAGAAAAAAATATATAAACTATATGGCCAGCCCCATGGACTCGTTAAAGAGAGCCTGATCCTACAGGGCCCACCGTGTGGTCTGAATCTCTGCCCCGGAATCCTGAGAAACATCCCAGGCATGTGTGTGTGCCTAAACTCTTCCCAGGATAGAAAAATGGAGAAAAGACTGTGATGTGACTTTGCCCCACTGGGGGCTGCTTTCTGCCTCTCCTTGCCTTGTCTCTCTGGTAAATTAAAAAAAAGTCAGCTACAGTCCCAGCCGCAGTGATGCAGCAGGAGCACACGGTTCTGCAACGCTGGAAGTTATATGAAAGATGGGGGTTACTTCCAGGTCAGCCTGTATGTGCTGGGCATGTGTGCATGTGATCCTGACTAGGTAAGAAGGCCAAAGAGAGGGCTGGGTCCGAGACCATCCTGAAGGTGCTCTTTCACGAAAGAAACAAACTTAAGAAAAGAAAGTAAACTGTAGTTACCTCTGGGTTATGATGTAGTGATTGTGTTGTTCTTTCAAATTTGCCAGAGTCAGTTGCCAGAGACTCAGAGAAGCAGAGAGAGGGGAGAGAGATAAAGCACCCGCCAAACAGATGGGCACAATCACACTGCAATCCCTTCTCCTCCATTTTCCCGCTTATCTCCATGTGCCTGGCTGCTGGGGCCAGGATCTGAACAGTGCTGTCAGCCATGTAGAATCCAGCTGCCTTAACCACCAGACCATGGAGTCAGTCCAGATTGTGTTGTTCTTTATCCTTTTCTTTGTATTATACATTTTCTACAATGATTATGCAGCACTTAAGAGAATAAAATACACGAAAATTACTTGCAAAAATAAATGTGCCAAAGTCAGCTACAATTGAAAATGGACATTTCAGTTTCGACTGAAACTGAAATGGAACTGTTTTACAAACCACAAATCATGCCGTACACAGACCTGCATTCCCAGGTTCAGTTACTATTTAGCATTTAAATACGCCTTTTATTTGAGGGTCCTTCCACATTTTGTACATGTGTTTTTACCACATGCCACCTACAGAGACAAATTAGAGCCATGTTTCAAATATACAAAAACATGAAAAGTGAAGTTAAATTCTGATCTTTCAAGTACCCCCAAGCAAGTCTTTTTTTTTTTTTTTTTTGAGAGGTTTTCGCTATAGGGCGCATGCGCTCGCCAGACAGACAGGGACATAGAGACAGAAAGTGAGAAATCACCCCCCAAGGGGGATGGTCATGCTGCAATCCCTTCTCCTCCATTCTTCTCTCGGGATCTTGGGCAAGCACGCACACGTGCCCGGCGTTGAGTTCTAAGCCACCGGGTCCGGGACGCGAACTGCGGTCAACTACATGGGAATCCAGCGACATAGCCATTACGCTAACTGCTGGTTCCCACCCAGGCAAGTCTTCATCAAAGCATCCAGCAGAGCTGTGACTGACTTCCAGGCCCACACTTGTACTGAGAGATGGAACATGCCCAGCGTTAATCACATGCACAAGCAGAGATAGTTTCTATTCTAAATTTGTTATCACTGCATTATAACTACTATAATCAGACCAGAGCTGTTAAAAATGAACACCTTTTCCAAGTGCATGCTTATGCACAATTGATACTGATGTGAAAGACTGAATTCTAAGTCATTAATCCCAGTGTGGGGCAGGCGTGCAAGACTACTCTTTAAGGGAGTAGGAAAAAAACAACAAATACTAGATTTCGTCATTGCCATTTATTTTAACTCATCCTGCCTTAATTTCCATTTTGTGTCTATTTATAACGTACCTAAGATATTACTTCATGTACATAACACAACTTATGTACACAGTGCATTATATATGCATACATAATACTTACAACCTATTTTCTATATGTTACACATTGACATGTATATAACACATACAATTTTTCTCAAGTATATAATGTACTGTAAACACAAGTAGTAGTATGTTCTCAAACACTTTACTGGTAGAAATTTATGAACAAAAAAGTTTGGAGATCTGGTCTGGACACACAGTAGCGGAAAAGAATAGCCAGGAAAATGGAAAACATACACATTCCCTTGAAGAAATGGAATCAGAAATAAGGGGTGAAGGAATAACAACGGAGAAGGTAAGTAAGAGGAGGACCACTAAGAGAACTATGAAGGCAGGGACCATGAGTAATAAGGAGAACCCTGAGAGACAAACAGCAGGGGGAGGAGGAGGAACTCAAGTAAGTGTAGATGATATATTTGTGGGTAAAAACTATAATAATGTTTACTTTTGTGATTTGATGAAAGGAAATGACTCAAGTGTCTAGAGTGGATCCTGTTCCTGCCTGATGGGCAAGCAAGTGAAAGACAACCGACCACCAGGCATCTTAAAATAGATACTGTGTTGTCAGGTTACAATGGAGCCAACAGAACAAACTTGAAAAACAGGAGCTGTTTACAGCTATCTAATACAGGCTTAGCTGGAGCCCAACTTTCTATATGCTAACTTTGCTTGGGAAGGAAGTAAATGCCAAAACACTGATATACTGACCAAGAAAGAATTTGGAGTGAACCTGGTTGTTCAATTAATAAAGTATTCCTATTCTAGCAGAGGGACAGTGACTGCCTTGATCATACAATTAACTGTCTCAATCTGATGTCTCCTTTAATTTTCTTAAACTCTATTTTACAGCCATCTCAAAAAGTGCTGGAATAGAAGCAATCTCAAGTTCTGTCTTTTTACAAACCCTAATAAAATCAACTTATGTTTAAAATAAGTTGTATTCCCCACCCAAGGTAATATTATATAACAGCAAGGGGGGAAAGATTACTTGAAAAAGCCACATTCAAAGAAGGAAGAGTTCATTTTTCCCTCTTAATTTAAAACACCCTTTCCTAGTTCTACACATGAGGGATTCACTGACAGCAACTGGCTCCTCAGTTTTTGGGGAATAACTTTTCACAAGTCACAGAAAACTCCCCTTTACCAATTTCTTCGTAGCTTCTGCCAGACTGCATATTTGAGACGGTGCACCCTAAAATAAATTCTTTGTGGAAGCTTTATGCCAAAGTTCTAAAGTTCACATGGTGTAAAGGAATCATACTTCTGAACAAAATATTGACATATCTGTTTACTGTAAGACAGGGCAGAACAAGCTGTAGTTGGGCAATAGTTTTTGGAACTATTTCATAACTGCAATAGGGAATCAAGACTTCCATTCTGGAGTCTTGGAAGACATCTGTAATTTTCTTAACGTCTAGATGATGTCTTCCAAGGCCCACTATACCAAGTCAGGACCTAAGCATTTCAGTGTACAAGCTACTGAACTACTATCACCCATTTTTTTGATAAGGATTAGTGGCTGCCCTAAAGCATTTTGAGAATTACATTGCTTACTTAAAACGCTAAGAAAGGCTGGACTTCTTTCCAGCAAGCAGGTAAGGAAATGAAACCACCATTCACGAGAAAAAAACTAGGCCATTTTCAAGCAAAGATCCTTAACAAAAACACTGAGCTTTGAACTGACCCAAACTCTGAACTGTGACCTAAAAGACAGAGGAATATTTGGCTCATTTCCAGGGAGGAACAGAGAGAAATAAACATCTTGACTTGAACCAATAATTTTTAAAAGATAAAGAATTTAACCAAAGACGCATGTGGTAGGTTAGAGAGAGCATTTCCAAGATCTCAAACGAGGTAATGCAAAACTTTTCCCTCACCTTGAAGTGCAAGTCTGTACATTTAATGGTAAACTGCGTATATTTAAGTATGAATCCTCTTCAAAGGAGCAGGTGAACATCTAGCTATCACAGGGACCCAAACTGGTATTTCAGGTTGGGGAAGCAGGATGTTAGAACCCTACAAATCCAGGGCAGCTTCTGAGGTCCACCACGGGCACCTTAACTCGGAATTACTAAGAGAGAAGAGGCCAAAGGGGCCAGGAGGGGACAGCGGCCCAACAGCCCACGCGCCCCTCACGCTGCGGTGGGTGCGTCTGTGGTCGGGTTCCCAGCGCCCCCTCCTCGCACCCCACCCACCCTCGGGGCCTGTGGGGGTAGCCACCCATCGCGACTCCCTCCCGGATGCGGAGGCGAGCGGGAAATGGCCATCCTCGCCCTCCCCCGCCCCCCAGTCCTTCGCCGGAGGCACCCGGAGAGAGCGAGGCCCCGAGGCGGAGAGGGCTGGCTCCCGGAGAGGCCCCGCTCCCTGCGCAGCGTACCTGGCTCTCGGCTGCGGGGATGCCGGACTCGAGCTCGCACAGCGCGCGGAAGTTGTGCAGCTCGAAGTCGGCGTCGACCTGGAGGGAAAAGGTCACCTCGGAGAGGTCCCTCCGCACACAGTACACGGTGAGCAGCATGGCCCGGGCCCGACACAGCTCGGCTCGGCCCGGCCTGGGCGCAGGGCGGAGGGGAGGCGACGGCGGCGCG